GATCTACACTGGGCTTTTTTTTTGCCATTCGCTTTATAATGAGTCATTAAAAAAAAATTTTTTTTAATTTAATGAGATATTAATATTATGCCATAATGAATAATTATAATGTCATTAATATTATATAATTAATAATTTTAATTAATAATTTCAAATTTGTAAGCCTTCCAAATGAAATTTGCAAAGTATTTCTTTCAATTTTTCATGTATTTGATTTTATAAAGAAAAACATGGATGTAATTGACATTACTGAAAATAATAAAAATAATATTACAACTAATTCACTAATAGTAATACCAAATGTTAGTTATAAAATTTTCATGTTAATATTAATATTAATGTTATTTTATAATAATATTAAATACTATCAGTCGTGTATAGGGATGGCAACGGTCATGGTCATTAACTGGTTATGACTGGTCATGACCGTGACCGATATCGGTTGGTCAAAGACCTCTGACCGACCGTTTGACTGACCGTTTGACCGATTCTGAAAATGTTTGCGAAACGTAATTTAATAAAAAAATGTTTCGCAAACGTTTTTTTAATTATTTTAATAGAAAACATTGCGAAAACATTTTTTATTAAGTATTTCAAATATTTTTTTATTAAATTACATTTCGCAAACGTTTTCAGGATCGGTTAAACAGTTGGTTAACTGGTCAGTCAGACCGGTCGGTCAAACGGTCGGTCGGTCGGTCAAAGGTTCTTGACTGGTTATGACTGACTGATGACCAACCATAACCGACCGTTGCCATCCCTAGTCATGTAAATTTAGTTCAGTCCGATTGATCAACATCACAGGACTTGGCATAATTAACTCAGTTCGATGGTAGCGAAGTCTGATCAAAGTAAAAATTTGGTCTGCATCAAAATTCACATGACTGTGCTAAAAACTGACATGACTGGACTCAAAAAGATCATCAGACCGGACTCAATAAGGATATACTTTGTGTGAAGCACTCCACCTATCACAGGTCGAACAGATGTCATTGTCGCAAAATTTGCCTGGAATTTTTCTGGCAAATTGAGAATTATCCCGGTAAATTGGGGTAAATTGTGTTACAATTTTGGGATAATGGAGGTCTTACAA